TTATTACTGGGTGTAATCTCTCTCACCAAGTCATTGGTAACAATAGTTATAGGTACCATTTACAATATAGTCACTGCCATCGTGTCCATGAAAGTCAATGAATCAGGCCTGGATATTATGGTGTTACAAATATCTATTGATTCCTTCGATAAAATGGCACTTCATAATAGAATGGTCTTAGAGAATCTTTCAACAGACTAAGGGGGAGTATATGCCTTAGCCAATAGGTCTTAATGTTTTTATGTTAATGCTAGTCACGCTATAGAAGAGAGTAAGACAAGGTTAGTAGAAAAAGTCTCCTAGTTAACAGACAAATCTGCCAGATATCAGAGCAAATTTGGAATGGAATCAGCAAAACTCTTTCCAGCATGACTGAGTTCTTTCTAGTCTTCGGCCTCTTCATAGATAAAGATGTTTTGTTGTCTAGTAGTTTGTGACTAAATGCGTTGAGGGGATAAAGTTATGGATGCTTGTTACACAAGAACACAAGCAACTCAGGACTGTATCTAGTAACCTGGAAATCCATCTTAGATTAGCTGGGGAAAAATTCTGCTATTCTACCAGTTCCTATGTCCATGCTCAGCAGGTAGAAGATAAAAAAATGGACCTTTGTTCATGTCCTCAAGAATGATAGGCAGGATAAGACTAAAACAGAAATATTGTCACTGTTTATTGCCTTGAATACATAAAAAATCTTAACTATTACTTTCTTTTATCTCAAAATCCTAAAAGCACCTATTTTCCATTTTTTTTCATGTTTCTAGTCACAGTCCAGGGAGAGATACAGTCCCCTGCCATACTGAACAGAACCATACCCTACTTCAGAGCAACGCTGTGATAATGGTTCAAGAAGTATCCAAAGACCACCCTTCACTTAACTGTAATGCCAAGATCTCAGGGAGTGTGGGGAGCAGGGCCCTGTGGGGAGCAGGGCCCGTCTCCCGCAACATGGCGAAATAAGTATTGAGACTACCGAGACTAGACTAGACTACTGAGACTATTGAGACTAACTCTATGCGCCTGATCTCACACCATATGGAGCTGAGAGGGAGTAAACAAATCTTACACAGCTGCTTTGTCAATTAGCTGATTCCTGATCCGACCTCTGATTGGAGGACAGTGTGCTCAGCACGTGGGCAGCAGAGCACGGATTGGTGGGAGAGGACTATAAAGGCGAGATAGAAGCTGTGCGGAGGGATTCGCTTATGTGCCGCAAGGCGCCGCAGACATCTCACACCACGCGCCGAGAGAATAACAAAAATGCGGACACACACCAAGTGGAACACGGTTAGAATGTGGTTAGCACAGGAGCAAACTTGAGCGCACAACGCAGTCATTCACTTAAACAACAGCATCTGGTTTGTTGTCCTTCTCCCGCAAGCCCGCGGAGGAGCAACAGGGAGGAGCTTGAGTCTTATTCCCATATCATGCCACCTATGTTGACTCATGTTTCTGAACCTGCATATTCATTTTCTCCGAATACAAAAGACAATTGCTTCTTCTGTTCAGGAAGATATAATTTTGGAAATGATTCCCCCATGTTCTCATTTGCTGCAAATAGATTACTTTGTGAGACAATTCCCTCTGGTATGTTTTTGAAAATGTCTTTTTATTTATTTTCATTTACTTGAAAGGCAAGGGGTGGAGGGGGAGGGAGAGAGTGAGAGCAAGAGCTAGAGCTAGAGCTAGAGAGATAGAGAGAGAATCTTCCATCCATAGGTTCAGTCTCCAAAAGGCCAGAACAGCCAGGGCTGGCCCAAGTTAAAGTCAGGAACCCAGCTCTCCATTCAGCTCTCCCATATGGGGGGCAGGGGAACAAGCATTTGAGCTGTTATTTGCTACTTCCCAGGATGCATCAGCAGGAAGATGGATCAGAAGCGGGGCAGCCAGGATTCAAATAGGTATTCCTATAAGGAATGCAGGCTTCCCAAGTGTTGGTTTACCTGGATCGCACGTGAGAAATAGAACTAGTATAAGACTCATTCTATCTGATACACTTTCTGCCTGACACTATAATTTTTAGGTTGTGTAACTCTGGTACAATATTTCAGAAAAATTTCAAATTTAGGTCTCCCTGGCAAATTCAAAGTGAATTTAGAGCTAGAAATGTGCCAGGGGATTCCAATTCTATCCCATCAAGGTGGTATCTTGATTGTTAAAGTGATAAATTTAAGTTCATAACTGATCAAAAAGATAAAGTGTCAAAGGCATTACATAAATAAGACCAGTCTCTTCAAATGATAATTGATAGAATTAAAACGGAGAGAATGATCCTACATGGCAAGCAGGATATGCAGCAGACTCATAGAATGGCGAATGCCCTAAACAGCACTCTGGACTCAGAATCAGCCCTTAAGGCATTTGGATCTAGCTAAAAAGCCCATGAGAGTTTCCCAGGCATGAAAAGCCAAGACATTGTTCAAAAAAAAAAAAAAAATGACCTAAATGAAAGATCTCTGTGAGTGAGATCCCAGAGGGAAGAACGGGCCATCAAAGAAGGCAGTGCCTTTCTCTGAAGGGAGGAGAGAACTGCCACTTTGATTAATGCCTTGTCTAAACAAGATCAGAATTGGTGGACTCAAGAGGATTCCATAGCCTTGGCAGCTCATGACAAGAGCCTTGGGTGATTACTGATGTCATAAATAAGAGTGTCAATTGTTAAATCAACAGCGGGAGTCACTGTGCACCTGCTCCCCATGTAGGAGCTCTGTTCTTAATGTGTTGTACTATGCAAATTAACGGTAAAACTACTACCTAAACAGTACTCTATAGTTTGTGTATCTTTGTGGGTGCAGTCTGTTGAAATCTTTATGTACTATATACTAAGTTGATCTTCTGTATATAAAGATAATTGAAAATGAATGGTGATGAAGAATGGGATGGGAGAGGGAGTGGGAGATGGGATGGTTGCAGGTGGGAGGAAGGTTGCGGGGGAAGCCGCTATAATTCAAAAGTTGTACTTTGGAAGTTTATATTTAATAAATAAAAGTTTAAAAAAAGAAGTATGTAGCATGTGTTTTATTCTCCCCTTTGAAAACTCAATTGTTTTAATCAACAGGTTTCTTTAGTATTGAATTGGCCTTCAAAATGCATTAATGTTTGAATTAATTTGAAAATAATTCATTTATTTATAAGAATCTTTAAGGTGACTTATCTATTGAATAAAATAAGGCATACTTGCTAATGGAAAAATTACTTGATTTCCAGAACTTGCCCTTTTGCTGTCCTTGTAGCTTGTCCTTAGGTACAATTTAAGATTTTTTCCTTTGCCTGACAACTTGTCTGAAAGGGAGTGCTCTATTCTGATAAAATAAGGGCAGTGGTTCATATTGGCTGAGGTGAATGGTGTATTTGCAAAATGCTTTGAGTTTCTCTTATCAAAGGGCCTATACAAATTCTCTGAAAGGAGTAAGGGGATAATTGTGATACTATGATCATAGAAACTCATATCACACATGAGGAAGCAAGATGAGTATTTGTAACAAAAGCATTCACAAGGCTTCATGTAATTCAGAACCAAGGTAAAAGGGTCTCATGTCAGAAATAGCACTATTAGAAGCCAGATCATTATAGAGGTTTTTAATTAATTCTTTACTGTGAGGAAAAATGCCATTGACACTTCATTATTTTGATACTGAGTCCGCAATTGGGGGCTTTCAAAATGTGTACATGAGGAACCACAAATAGAGCCCCTCAATTCTTTGTGTAGGGAGCTTCTATTTCTCTATTCAGAAGGACTAGCTGCTGGGGATGTCCTTGTCATTCTCTCTAATATAGTTTCACATTTTGTCCCTGCAGGTCTGTGTTTATGTGAATTGGTAGCTGTGATTTTCAGAATTTAAGAAATGATATCTTTGGAATAGAATTTGAAGTGTTCTGAAAAATAGATAACCAATCATTTATTAAAATCATTTCACTAAGACAAAGATGCCATTCATTACTTGGAGCAAAGATTCTTTTAAAATTGCTATTTTCTAGAAGGAAAAATAAGCCCCCAACCAAATTTATTATTCAAATAATACTCTTACATTATAGTTTCTACTTATTGATTACTTTAATTTGTATTATCTATGTTTAAGACATGACAATTTTTTATAACTCTTTTCATTAAGAGTTTAAGACTGAGAAAGTGGTTTTAAATTATAAACTTCTATTCTTAAAATCTTTTTGTTTGATGTTTACTCATGTTGTCAAAAGGTAAATTATTCACTGGTCTAGTCATTTCCATAAAACAGCTTTGGTTATATTTTTGGTTGTGTGATTTTAGAAGTTAGCTAAAAATATAAAATATTTTTTCTTTGCATTTCCTTCTCATTTTTTTATCTCTAAGAATGCTCGTATGTGAATCTTTAACTATTCTAAGATTGATAAAAATAAATCATGTAAAATACTGCCCTAAGAAGATATGGGGAAGTATTAATAAGTGATAGTATGAATGAAATAGTAAAAATTTTTTTGATACCCATTTTCAATCACTCGACCCTCCAACCACTAACACACCAGAGATAAAATCTTCCGCTTGTTTTTCAGTGAGACAATTTATCAAGAATCTTGAAAAAGCAACCATGCAACAATCTTGAAAAAGATGACTAATTACCTTCAGATACTAGATTTTTAAAATATAAAACATGAAAATCCAAAATCCAAATCATGGTTTTAAGCAGTTACAATTAATATTTGGGGACAATTCTAAACAACTGCATTTAATATGCCTTTTTTATTAAATCCTTTTTCTAAAAAATGAATCTGTTTATAAGGAACTTACCATATTTTATCTGTGAGTGAGGTGGTAGGTTACTTCAGGCTTCAGAGTTTTCCAAGTCATTATCAACTATTTGTCTTCTGGTACACAATTTTAGAATTTCAATGGAATATATGTTGAAACATTTGAGGAACTCCCTAGAGAATTTCTTATTCATTTTGTAAATTATTCTATAGCAGATGTATTAATCAAGCTAAAATACCTGACGAACAAAATTTCAACATTTCCTCTTGCTTACCTGAAGTTTAGTACCTGTGGATATCTTTTCAATGAGCAGCGCAGCATTGTTCTTGAAAACGTTTAACTATTGCAAGTTGTCAGGGGCAGGGCACATGCTGTTGATGGATATTAGTGCGTTCAGAACCTATGCATCACAATCACCAATGCATCATGATATCATCAATGATTCTCAGGCCCCAGCTACTGAAATTCTGCTTCAGGGTTCCTTGGAGTTTTATATTTATTTAGTTATCTAAAACAGTGATATATACAGCCATACAATCACTGTACTGTGCTGAAGGAGATTTCACTCAGCTTATTTCAAATTTCAAGTAGGACAATGGCTAAACTATCAGATAGAGATGAAACTATTTCCCTTAATGAATCCAATAGAAGACCATTAACCAATTTCTCTCATTGTTCATTACTCATGATAAGATTAGGACCCCATATTTGTATTTTATACATTACATGTTTTCAAATGAGGAAAGAAAATTTGAAATTAGAGAAAAAAATGTTCATTTCATGCATGTTTTTGGAGATGGCAAGTTCTGATAATTTTTTGAAGATCTATCCAAGAATGTCTTCAAACATGTGTTAACTGATGAAGTATAGATTTGTGAAGAGCTTTTTTGCTTCTTTGTTACCACTAATTGTCATCACACAACACAACCTGTGAAAGCTTCTGCACTTTAGCTTGTTTACTGTGCATTCTCGATGTCTACAAATGCAAACAGAAAGATTAGGGAAATTGTCAACCATTCCTTTTAGCAGAGTGTGTAAGTACCACACAAATTGCACCTCGAATGCCTTCAGGTGTGGAAAGAACCGCATCTCCCTTTGTCTAGTTCTGAGGAAAATAATCAGCTTGGAGCTAAAGAGGGACTAGCAAGACTTCCTCTTCTGATCAGCCAGAGATAAGAGTGAAACGTTATCTGTCAGACTTTGTCCATGGTCCTCAGACAAAATGACAATCTTAATGGACTATGGTAAGCTCATTTACCTTAAAAGTGAAGGAAAACCCTTAACAATGACCAGGGAATTTAAAGCAAATATCGAAGACATATTTATTCCGCTTATTGAATCAAAGAGAAACTTGTACATGAGATGCGATGAACCTACGCTGATGCACAACCAAAAAGAATGCCTTGTTTTCTATCCCTTGGGTCACAGAGGAAGGTCTAGAGTTAGGATTATGGAAAGTGCATTGGAAAAGGAATGGGAAGCATGGATGTAAATTGTAACTGCTGACTTCCCTCATTGGAATATTTTTATAGGCAACATTTGAAACTCACCTTCCAGGAAAGGCTTCCTTGAAGCTGATGTCAGATACCTAAAAAGGAGGCTCAAATGGCCATGGCCCTAGGTTGCACTGGGGATGACTTGTTGAAATGCTATGTCACTAAAGAGCAGTTTCGCATCAATAGCTTTCTTGGTCTCACACTCAGAAACCTGCAATGGAAACAGAATACCCCTGCTCTTTTACTGTTCACATGAAAGAAACAAAAAAGTGGTAGGAGCTTTCTGATCCTTTAAAACAAGCTCCCTAGCATTTATTCTCTTTTGAAAACCCATGAAGTTTCCTCCTGAGGCACTCCTGAGTAGCATCGTGTGCACAGTGCATTACCACAGCACTTGTTCTGCACTTTACCTGCTGCCTCATTGAAATGTCCACTGTTGCAAGCCTTTTTTACCAGGAGCTCTATTCTGCATTTCAGCAGTAGCATGTATGTAGGGGCAATTGAAGCTGGCACTTAATGTGGACTGACAATAAATTGATAGGCAGCTTGGGTTCTACTCCCCACTGTCCATAAATAATTTTGTGTTTTATAAGGAAGTCACTTTTCCTTCCTGGTATTCTTCTGCTTCTCTAAGTTGAGAGTTTGACTTGTCAGACTTTGAGGTGCATTCCATATCAATGATTTTAAACTTCCATATTGGCAAAATAATGTCAGTAGGCAATATGTGTATTTGAAAATCCTTTCATTTTCCTTTAAGCATCCTGTTTACAATCCTTCTGAGAAAAAGATAAATTTCTGTTTGTTACATTGTTGCCTTAAAAAAGTCAAACAGTTTCTGTTCACGTGTAATTTAAAATTTTAATTTTGTACAACTTGGCTTTCAAGTATTTCCAAGTATCTAGCAGTGATTTAGCAAAGCTACATCTAGCTTAAACTGACTCTGATTTGCTTTCCAGAATTATTTAAACTGGCCATAATACTTTGATGTTTAAAAAGTAGAAATAGTTTTAACTGGTGATTTAAAGTGCTTAAAAGCATTATCTTGTATCACCTTCACGATGAGAGATTGCGGTTGGGCTGTTTTGGGAGAATCAAATCCCTTCTGTATTTCTGCAAAGTGTTCATCATTAGTCTGCTCTAGTAAGATTTAGCCCAAGGAGAAGAGATTAGCATTTAAGCTAAAGCATCAGAATAGCTGGCAGCTATATGGAGAGTGGAGTTTATTGAATAAAATATTCAGCAGGGTCACTGTTATTTTTTATCTGAATCAGTTCTCTGGGTGGTTTATTTACGTTTCATTTTATATTTTCCTTAAAATTTTATTATCATTTATGTATACATGATTAGATCAAAACAGTCTGAAAGTTTTCTCAGCCCCACCACCTTCCCTTCCCCAGTGCTAATCCAACTCCTCAGGCCAGTCTGTATCTTGCACTGACTGTCATGATTCCAGACTTTCATCTTATTCCCTTGTGTTCCAGTGGCTTCCTGAGAAATGATGCCCATTCTCTTGGCCCTTGTAGATTTAGACAGTTTGTATTACTTTGCTTTCCATTTAGTCATCTAGCAGAACGAAAGAGATTGATGTACTTATTCAACTTGTTATACTCAACTAATAAAACATAGGCCAATTTTTTTTTACAGTATCAAATTCATCTTTGGATACAAATTAGGCAAACTTAGCTGCAATGGGAATATTGTTTTGCTGACTTCCCCATATACTATGATACAATTTGTTTCAAAACCATTTAGGAAAAAATGTTAGGTGTTTTCTGTTTCTCTGACTCAACACCAAAATTATAATCATTGCTTTTTGCCTTGAAAACAATTCCATCTCTTGTAATCTCATTGAGATTTATACATGTCCTGCATGCAGTCAGTGATATGCCAGAATTCATACATCTTTGCCTCCTTCTTTTCTCTCAATGATAGATGTTCAGAAATGCAGCATTGTTTCTTATCTGCTTGAATTTGGTCCCATCTTTCTATTTTCACTGCTTTGTTCAATCCTTTGTAGTAACTTAACTATATGGCTATGTCTAACTCAAAAGGTAGGATGGTTTCAATTGCACAAACTGAACAATGTACTGAAAGTGGCATTACCTTAATTAACTTTTTTTTCATTTTTATACATTGGGTTTTTTTTTAAAGATTTGTTTATTTATTTGAAAGAGTTATAAACAGGCAGAGGCCAAGGGGGGTGGAGGGGAGACAGGGGGTTCTTCCATCTGCTGGTTCAATGGGGCAATAGCCAGAGCTGAGCAGATCCAAAGCCAGGAGCCAGGAATTTCTTCTGGGTCTCTTAGGAGTTTCTTCGGGGTCTCCCATGTGGACACAAAGTCCCAGGGACTTGGGCCATCTTCCACTGCTTTCCCAGGCCATACCAGAGAACTGGATCAGAAGTGGAGCAGCAGCCAGGACTAGAATCAGCTCTGATATGGGATGCCGGCACTGAAGGTGGTGGCTTCACCAGCTACACCACAGCACCAGCCCTGGATTATTATTATTATTTTTTGTATTCTCTATGAACTACCACATACCCGAGAAAACATAATATTTGTTAATTGGGGGCTGATTTATTTCACAAAGCACTATGGTCTCCCATCCATTTGGTTGTGAAAGATATGATTTCATTCTTGTGGTTAGATAATATTTCATTATATACACACACAACATTTTCTTTATCTAGTCATCACTTGATAGACATCTGGGTTCATTCCATATCTTAGCTATTATGAATTGAGCTGCAATAAACGGGTGTATAAGTAACACTTTTCATTTGCAAATTTCATTTCAATTCGATTTTAGTATTCCTGATTAAGAAGCCAAGAGGTGGGTGGTTGCTGGGTTGGTTAACAGCTCAATGATGTCATCAAGCATCCACAAGATCTTGCTTTGTTTTCACTCCACCATTCTTGGTATATCAGATGTTGCCCACATAGTCATAAAGTAGCTGCTGCCATTCTGAACATAAAATCTGCCCAGTTCACTGGTTTTAATTGATTTATCCTTTTATATATTCAGAGAAGTAATTACATTTTTTCTTTTGCTGTATTTAATAGTGGACACACCTATTTTATAGGATCATGAGTTTCTTAGTGACACTGATGTGTACCTGTATGCATACTACATGAACAAGTAACTTGCTGAGAGGAGGTATTCAGCAAGTGAAGATTGAGCTAATTTAACTTAAATAGTTGAACTCAAAGTATTTAAAAGGGGCTCTAACTTTATACATTTCACCAACCTTCAAAGTGTCCTAATGAACCTATCTCTCACTCAAATGACTTAATCTCATTCTTTTTGTAGAGATTTCATTCTGTCAGTGGTATAGAACTGTTCGCCTGGAATGCAATTTACAGATTTGGAATTCCAAGAAGCTCAAAGTAAATAATACAACAGTTGGTGCAGCTTAAGACTAACAATATTATAGACATATTCACGTTCAGAACAAAGTCAAGTGCTGAAGGAACACTTCATGCAAGGTGCTGATTTCTTCTCATTCTTTTATTCTTAGCTTTAAAAAATGAAAATAAGGATTGCCCTTTCACATTATTTTTTTAGGCAATTAATTTACTCATTAATTCAAAAAATATCAAACACATGCTATGTACAAACTATAAATTTAATATAGTAGCATGCAAATAAGTGTATTAAAGCTATCAGAAGTTCATCATCAGCTCTACCATAAGTTTATTTTTCCTGTGACTTGAATGGAATAGATATAAAGGGGAAGGAATCAAAGAAAGCTATAGAACATTTCTTCAGCACAGGGGCTCTTTTACTACACAATATAGTAGAAAGATCTCAGGATTTTCCTGGGCTGCTTCCTTGCACAATTTCCTCCATACATTTAATTTCTTCCATGGAAAATTAAGTCACTTTTATCCATAGGGACTAGGTCTTTTCTTTGGT